CCCCAAAACCCCAAAACCCCAAAACCCCAAAACCCCGTATTTTCTGAAGAAAATTGAGCTAAAGTATTTGCATCAGCTATCAAAATGGAGGTGTTATTCACCCAAATAAGCTACCAGACCCATTAATGTCCTTACTAAATAGTGCCCATTGGTTGTATATTAACTGAGAGTTGGGAAATCCTCTTCAGAGTAATTTCAAAATTAAACCCGAAAATTGGCCAGAAACAGAAGATTTTTGGAAATGATATAATTGCATATGAACAAATTATTGTATTAACTGAATCGGCTCTTTGGTATAATAAGGAGTTTATTCCACCTTGCAGAATTTACAAATCCATTCTTTGGTGATGATGATAGTCTCTCTTTCTTCAGCCGTGATTCCAAGACATGGTGGGTGATACCATTTCTTACATTTGTCTCATTCGATCATTTCACTGCCGTCCCAGAATTTTTCACACACTCAGTATCTCTTCTGTCCCTTTGAGTCAGGTCCAAGACTATATCGAAGACTTTAGTTATTGCCATAATAGTAGATGCTTATCAGAAGCGAAGACTTACTTTTCAGATGAGGCATCTGCTTGCTCAAGGTCTCTTTCCTAAAGCATTTACTCTCAGATTCTTTACTTTATTTGCAGCAGATAATTCATGGCCCAAATAGTAAGCTCTCTGTGTAAGAGTGAGAGAATTAGGATCTATTGGGGTATATATTTTACAGCCTTCACTCTTTCTTTTCTTTCCGCAATATGTCGAGGCTATTCGATAAATTCGCTAAATTACCTTTTCCTTTCTCAGCCCTTGTTCTTTGGCCAGCTTTCTCTTCAATAGTTGGGTCATGGTCAGCTTTCTGATTTGCTTCTCTGATTTCAGTAATTCTATAGAGAATGTGTGTTCAAAAAGAACTTACTGTTTTAAAATGTTATTCAGGCCATCTGTGAGTTGGGAGTCTTCTTTAGAATTTTGTTGTTTTCTCACCTATACAAAATATTTACTCTTCAAATAAACTGGAATTGAGGCCTAAGCCATTCAGAACAGCTTTTCTCCTCAGAGTAGTAATTTAGAATACATCAGCTTTGAGAATATGCTTAGTAACCATAATTCGGGTAACTAGCGAGATCTCTCATTGGGGGAATAAAACTTAGTAGATTGACTAGAGTAGAAAACTAGTTGTTGCTTTGAGGAACTTTAATTAAAGTTTATATATCTCTAATCAATCTACACAGACGAGTTTCTCTTAATATTTTTGGAAGATCTGAGGGATAATGGGGCCTCAAAAGTACGGGAAAATACACCAAAAATTTTCATGCCCCACCAAAGTGGTACCTACGAGGTTGTTTAGAGTGCTTTCAACCAACTCCATCTTTTTGGAGTGCTTAAATCCTAGAATCTTCTCTGTGATGCTCAGCTGCATGTTCTTTTGAATTAATTAGATTATATATTTGATAATCAATTATAGGTACTTTTTTAGGGGTTTTGGGGTTTTGGGGTTTTGGGGTTTTGGGGTTTTGGGG